CAACAAGACCCCCCTCTGGGCCTCCCTGATGGGGTCTAAAGGAAAGCAGAGCAAGACGCTTTACACCCACTAGGCTGCAGGAGTTGCCAGAAGGAGGCGTACACGGCACCATGCAACTGCCTTAGGGACTGCGCTCCTGATTTGTGTAGGGTTTGCTCCTTAGCCTTGGAGTTATCAGCCGGCACACCCGGAGAGGGGAGCACAGATTCTCCTCCCCTGCTGAAGAGTATCCTGGGATATGGTCTTAAATACATTCTCCATGGGTGTTGGGCCTATGTGTCACCCCACATGAACCCACAACGCACCAAATAATGAACCCAATGAAAAGCATGCTGTCTTCTCCACAGGGAACCCCCGAGTTCCTATGAAAACAGGCAATTTTAGAACCACAGGTCCACACATCTCATCTATGTGGCGTTGGGGAGGACGGCAATTACTTGAACAATCAGAAACCTTCTTACGATGATTGCTCTCTCATATATATATATATATATATATATATATATATATATATTAGCAAATATCTACAACGAAGAAATTTATAAAAGAACGTGGAGAGGTTTGTGCGCTGTTGCAAAAGAGCCTGTTACACAAACAGAACTTTGTACGTTTTCACTTGAACATTAGGGTGCGAATTAGATTGAGGAATGCTTATGCACACCAGGAATACCTGCATTTCGGAGGATATGAGAATTCATTTGTTTCTCCCGCGCAGCCTAAATGCATCTTAATGCACTCCTGAACCCTCCTTAATGCTTCACAATGAGATTGATTGAGAGAGCGGGGGCTCTTTCCACACTTACAAATGGGTTTAAAAGGAAAGCAATTCCTCACGTATTTTAGCAGTTTCTGGGAACACATCAGGTTTGTGAATCAAGAGTGGAAATGCAAAGCTGGACCATGAGGAAGACCAATAACTTTGCTTCGAAGCATGCAAGGGAAGGGATTCATCACGGCCGAAACCACAAATGGGAAGTTAAGGATTAACTCGACATCCAGACTGGACGTTTCCCTGCAATCTGCTACAGAAAACGGTGCAAAAAAAAGGTGCCCAAGTCTGCACCACGCTCTGTGACCCATTGCTTCTTCGTGCTCAAACCCAAGTTTTTTCATGGGAAAGTCTATGAAACCTAATGAAAGGGGTAACTACCTTCCTGCACGAACAAGACTTTTGAGGAGGTGACAGGATGCAAAGCTGAACAGGACTCCTTTGTGCCTCTCCATATGTGTGCAAGACAGAGAATCTGAGTCTACGCAGCTTTTCCCCCACCAACATTTGGGAGAAGAAGCACCTGCCAAAATCCCCCCTTCTGCACAACTGTGCAAGAGGAAGGAGCCGTGGAGAGTTTCTTGGAATCCTCTCCTTCCCCTCCTTTTATCTCCTCTTTTAAGAAATTTGTTTTCACTGTTTAACCTGTTCGCCAGATGCATTTATTTACTCTTTAGTGAAAGCAAAACCATGCTATTTCATACTGGATATTTTACAATCCGATCTTGAGGCTCCATCCTGCTACACTCCCCCCACCCCACCCTGCAAGAGATTTATTGGAGTGTGCAGGCCCTTAGGGTGTGTGCAGGACTGCCAACTTTTCGATAGCTGTGCCTTTTAACAGCCCCTTGTTCTGCAGATATTAGCAGGTGAAGCTTCTTGCAGCATGGAAATAAACGAACCTCATATGCTCTATGCACCAAGTAAAAACATTCCTTTTCGCCAGGCCTTTGGCTAATTAAACTATCTATGGCCTTTTAAACTGTGTGTGCAGAGGGGGGGGGCTATTGTTCTTCTTCGTTACTACGGTACGTAGTTTTGTGCTTATATATATATATATATATATAATAACTTTTTATTCAAAATTAAAACAAAACATGTTATCCAGAAACACATCATCCTTATTCCCCCCCATTTTTCCTCCCCCCTCCATCCCCCCAAAGAACCTACCCATCCCCACCCCCCCGACTTCCCCCAGTTCCAGTCTTTGATTTCTCTAGAAATGCTGTTTTCTGCATGTTGCACTTGTATAGATCCTCAAACTATTTAGCTGATTATTATCAATAAAAAAGATTGTGAATGTTTATTCAAGTTTTGTGCTTTTATATTGTACCCTGCCCTGTGATCCTTACACAAAGGGCGGTAAAGAAATTTAATAAATAATGATGATGATGATGGTAATTGCTGCGAATCCCAAACGGCAATAAAAGCCATCTGAAAAGTTGGAAACCCTATATGCATTTAATTGCATGAAAACCACAATGACTTTATCTTTCAGGGCCACAATTCTGGGACAGGGAATCATCTCATTCCAAGAGAAAGAACGGAAAAGGGATATCAGTGTCCTGAGAGAGGTAGAGCTGAGGTGAAATGATGAACAGCAAGATGACTGCTATTCTGTGCATGCTTTCAAAAAAAAGAGGAAAAAGAGTAACAGTTAATAATTATTACTTTTTAAATTATGCACCACTTGTCACTGCAAGAAGAAATACAAGTTTGGTTCACTAACAAATAGAAGCCAGTAGCTAAAATAACAAGAACTGTGGGTAAAGCTCTGTGTCGTGTGTAATAGCGGGTGGCAAGCCAAGGTTTGCCTCTGTGAAAAGTGCAAATTGATGCTCAGGGCCAGGGGTCGGCAACCTAAGGCCCATGGGCCAAAAGCAGCCCATGGGGGTTGTTTAAGCAGCCCACAAGCTGCCCCCAAACCGAGCCGCCCACTTGGCAAGTCCCCACGCACTGCACTAAACCGGCGCAGCGCGGGGACTCGCTTCCGCGGTGCCAAAAATCACGTCTGTGCAGACGCTGGAAATTGCGGGCGTGATCCGGCCCACGGGGGGGATCCGCTGGAGTGAACCGGCCCAGGCGAGGTAAACCTTGCCACCCCCTGCTCAGGGCGAACATTCATGCTTTGCTTTTGAGTCTGCGTGCTTCCAATAGGCTGTTGCCTGTTGGAACTGACAGGGTGGGAGGCAGGGAGGTTGGCAGCAGGGGGCACTAGAGGCTCAGAGTCAACAACAGGCGGAGTCAGCTCTGCCTACTTCCATCCCATCCTCCTCTTCCCTGGCTGGTTCCACAAGGGCAACAGGAGGGGGAGGCTGCCAGGCAGGGCTGCAAGAGAGAGGGCAAGCAGGAGGGCACTTGGAGGGTAGCGCCCCACCTTCCAGCCTCCACTGTCTGCTGCTGCTGCTGTTCTCTCGCTTAGGAAAGAGCTGGAATGTGGCCCTCTAAGCCTCTCCGCTTGGCCCCCGGCTTCTTCCCAGGGAAATGAGACTCTCAATCTCTCTCTCTATACATATATATAATTAGTTTTTTAACATAACATTTTCAACAATTATTAAACATACTTTTATATCTTATACAATTTTTTTTACTTCCATCAATCACATCTGAAAATTTTCCAATCTTTTCACTTAATTTACATTTCTTACTTTCACTATTACATTTAAATATCATAACTAATATCTCTCTTCTTTCTCATCTTTGCAATATTTCATATATTCCTCCTTACAAAACTTCTTGTAGTCCTACTAGTGTAATTTGTTGATTACAGTTGCTCTTCAAATAGTTCGTACATTTCTTCCAATCTTCTGTGAATCTCTGGTCCTGCAGGTTTCAAATCCTTCCTGTCATTTTATCCAATTCTACGTAGCCCATTAATTTCGTCTACCTTTCTTCTTTTGTCGGTATTTCTTCTGGCTTCCATTTCTGGGCCAACAAAACTCTTGCCGCTGTTGTTGCATATAAAAACAATTTAACAACCTGTCTGTTAATATCCTCATTTATAATACCAAGTAAAAATGCTTCTAGTATTTTTTAAAAAACGTATATTTCAACATCTTTTTCATCTCATTAGATATCATTTCCCAGAAGTTTTTTACTTTCTTACATTCCCACCACATATGATGAAATGTTCCTTCTTTTTCTTTACATTTCCAACCTTTGTTATTTGTCTTATACATTTTAGCTAATTTCACAGGTGTGATATACCATCTATACATCATTTTCATCACATTCTCTTTCAAAGCATTACAAGCTGTAAATTTTATTCTTTCTGAGACTCTCAATCTCAGGGTTCGAGGCCCACAATGGACAAAAGCCTCTGGCCCCACTCAGTATGTGTTATGTGACCCCTAGGTTTCTCAGGAAGGAATGGAGTCCTTGCATTCCCAACCCCTGTTCTAAAAACTTTGGGCAGCTTTGGATTCATCTGTGGAAGGGCTGGAGTTCAAGTACCGCTCTCACGCCGCTTTTAGTACAAGGGAGGTCTTAAGTTCACAGCTGAGTTTTCTTCTCTGAGGTTACTTCATCCTGAAACAACCTTGTTAACTATCATCATAATTTCCTTTCTGCAGAAGTGGGAGATTGCATGGGGATGGCGGCTCTCCAAAGTCACATTCCCGGGGCCTGGCTGAGCAGGACTTGAACTCGGCTCTCAAATTTCCAAAGTCTAGAGGAAAACCAAAACGTCTCTCTGAGCCTGCTTTCCGTTTGGGGCTCAGCAGAGCGTCCAGAGGGCGACTCCGAGAAGTCCGAGGTGCAGATATTTTAAATGCACCTTGTACTCCAACTATGAGAAAAAAGTTAGACGTCAGGAACGAAGGACTGTGGAACGAGACAGGGGAGGCGGAGAAGCGGGGCTTCAAAGCAGCTCGGAGGCACGAACAGCGCGTGCCAAAACCTGCAGCTGTTTTTGCAAAAGTCAACCCCGCGCAAAAGTCGATAGAAACTGTTCCAAAGTTCGCAAAACAGAAGCAGCGGAAAAACCAAAGTCCACGCGACGTCCAGGATAAATGAATTGCTTCTTCTTTCCCTACAGCACCGAAATCACGGGAGAACAAGGCAAAACCTAGCATTTTCCTTTGCAACCAGCCGCCCGGACCAGCGATTGCAGACGAGAATTTCCCTTTCCTTTGCAAAGCGAGGCGGCGCGAGAGAGAGCTGAAGTCCATTCCATCAAGCCAGACTGATCCTGCCTCCCGGTTTTCCTAAACACCCTTAATCACAAGTGGCACTAGCTTCGTCCAGTAAAACGCCGCAAAGCGTCAACATTGTGTTCGCCCGACGCCGCCGGCCAATGAGCGCCGCCGGTGCCCAATATCCCGCCTTCCGTGGAGCAGATGTGCACCGGCCTGGCGGCCATGTTGAGTGTGGCGCCAGGGCTGTTCGGTCGCCGACTGCGTACTTCGACTACTTTGAGGCGTCGCTGACGGCTACGAACACCGGGGAAGGCTTTCTTAGAGCACGGGGGATCCAGTTGGATCGGGTCCGGTCGGTTAGCGGCCTTGGCTGCGTGGGGGAACCGAGTGGTGTCTCCGCCAAGGGCGCCAGTCGCCATCTTGAGTGTGGCACATGGCGCTTGCCTCCCCCTGCCTTGCAGACTCCATTGGGCATTCGGTGCACGGACGGAGGGGACCCCCCTAAAATCTCCCAGCCCCCCCCCTGCAAATGCAAACTTTGGGGGGGGGTTATTATTATTTGCAAAACAAACAAGCAGCATGTGGTAACCGCAAAGTCAAAGAGCTTAAAATGAAAGCAGTTTTAGCAATTCCAGGTTTTTTTTGTACGGTGGGGAGATTTACACCTTTTAATCATTGCATTTGCAAGATTTTCAACCCCCTTGCACATATTTTTTCAGGGCACCTTGCACCCAAAGCCCTTGCCATTTATTTTTTTTTAAAGTAAAAATATTTATTGAAGTGGTGGGCACCGAGCCGGGGAAGCGGGCGAGTGTAAGAAAGGTGGGGGCGGGAACCGGCCACCCGCATTTTAAGTTTGGCCGGATCCCTCGCGGGGGCTTTTATCGATCACCTCCGGTGTGCGTTGCGCTTTGTGAAACGAGCATGGCAGCAAAAAGTCGGAAGGGACGAACGAGCAGTTGCTGCTCCAGTCGAATTTCCCGGTTAGCCCTCTCAAATCAGAGCGAGAAATCCCCTCTCTCTCTGTCTCCAGCATCCTCCTTTCCCCCCGCTTTTGTAAATAAGAGAGAGCGGGAAGAAGTGCGCCGGGAGGAAACGCGAAACTCATCCCCTGCTTGGCGTGAGCTGCGGGCTTTAAAAAATGTGAAATTTCGCCCAAAAATTCCGGGAAGATGGGATTTGGAGCGGAGATTGAATTGAACAGAGATCAGCAGGTTTCGAGAGTCATCTCTCTCCCTCTCCTCCCCCCATCTCCAAGTGCTGAACACGGAGAGAGGCGTTCCCACGTGCACGCGGGTTCTCCGGCCAATAGCGCAGCCTTTCCGTCCTCTCATGTTTGCTCAGCAGCAAGTCGAGCCAAAGACGCGTGTTGAGGTTTTTTTTTGTGTGTGTGTGTGTGTGTGTTTTTTTTTTTTTTTGCGCGGGGTTCGGGTCGGGCTGTGCGCAAATCCCACGAACTTTAGGCGCCGCCGCGCAATTTTCAGCACGTTCGCCAGCTGCCCAAGCGACCCTCGCTGGGTTCCGCCTGAACCTGCTGGCGCGTTAAAGAGCGCGGAGATGCGCGCATGACCTTTAAAAAAACCCACTAAAACCCACCCCACCCCCTGTTGTTCCCCCCTCTCGATCCCCGACCCGCAAAAGCCTTCTACCCCACCCAGGTTCCTGCAACCCTCCCCCCGCAGCAGATTGCGCACGAGCGCAAGACTCGCGGACGTCGCACCCCCAAGGTTTGCGCGTTGCTTTTTGCGCAAAATGGTGGTGCTCGAGAGAAGTTCCCTGCGCGCGCGCGCGCGTATGCAAGCGACTTTGCTTCAGCGGGGGCGCAAAAAGGGCGTTTTTTTAGAAAGCGGCTTTGCAACTTCGGAGTGAAAGGGGAGCAGTGCGCGCGCGCGTGCGCGCGCCGAAAAGAAAAGTGAGCGGGGGGGTGAACTCGGCCCCCTTCTGCTCCTCCCTCCGGGCGCGCTGCGAGCCTTTCGCCTTTTGCAATGCCTCCCCCGCTCCGCTTCTGCGCTTTTTGCACGGCGCAAAAACCTCCCCGCGCGCGGAGGAGGGGCAGGAGACGGCTCCGGGGGGGTGGCCTGCATGCCCCCCCTTTTCCCGCGCGCGCGCTTTGCAGCGCCTCCTTCCCCTCCCTCCGTCCTGCTCGCTTTGCATGGACGGCTCGGGCCCGGCACCAACTCCTCGCCGCGCTGCCCAGACGGGAGGGGAGGGCGGGGGGGGGCGAGCGCGCCTCGTACAGCTTTAAGCAGCCTTGCCCATTGTTCGCCCCCCGACCAATCGGCGGGCCCCTCTTCCCCGCGGCCGCCCAATCCGTGCCGGGCAGGGGAGTGAGCGTGCCGCCCACTAATCTATATTAAAGGTAGTGGCGCCGCGTGAGCTTCCCACTGGCTCCGTCCAAAGCCATCTTTGCATTGTTCTGCCTTGCTCGCTCCGGCTCTCGGGGGGTTTTGTTTTTTTCCTCTTCCCACCCACCCCCTTTTCTCTTCGCTTCTTCCCCCTCTTGCTCCCCAGGCGCGCGCCGGTGGACCTGTAAGTCGCCGGGGGCTTTATTTTTGTATTTTAGCTCTATTTTCTATAGATTAGAGAGAGATTTATCCCCGCGCAACTCCCAAGCCAGCCATGTCAGACGCCGCCGTCGATACCAGCTCCGAGATCTCCACCAAGGTAAGCGGCTGCGACCCAACGCATGCGAGGCGTCCTCTCCTCGCCACGCCGTCCTCCTCCTCGGCCGCGGCTACTTATTTCTGGATCTGCCTCGACGGAGCCTCCCGTCGTCCGCCCCCCCCCCGAAAGTCCCATTTTGTCCGCGTGTGTCTCTCGACGAGCGGCGTGCGCTCTCCGCTTCCCTCGTTTCTTTGTTTGCGACAGCGACCTCGCTCCCGCAAGATCCCCGGCTTGTTTTTTGTTCCTTGGAGGTGGTTTTTGCGGAAAGGAAAATGGTTTTCCAACCCCCCGAGGGGGCGGACAGGACAGCTTGTATATCAAGAGAGGGAGAAAGCGGGAGGCTTCTTTTGAGAAAATCTCTTGAAAGTGCCCGAGCTGCGGGCTCTCCTGGGCGCACGCAATGGTCCCTGTTGCAAAGCGGCCGTCTGGAAAGAGCTCTCCATTCAAAGGAGCCTCGCGGGTTTGACAGACGTCGAAAACTTAAGAGGGTCCCTCCGATTCCCCTACTTTTTAAAAAAGTGTCATGAGTGCGAGTCGGGGGGACGGGACGAGGGGGAACTAAAAAGCCACCCGGCGGGAAAGACCCGCCGTGCCCAACGGTTGAAGGCAGCCTTTCCGTGCTCCTCTTCCCCGGTCCATTTCCACCTGAAATTACGAAAACAAGCGAGGGGCGTCGGGAGGGATGTTACCCTCTTGGGTATCCTTTGTGAACGTTCCGACGTACTTGAATGCAAGTTGAGTTTGCGTGTGTCCGCTGCTCGCTCTCTCTCTCCCCCCCCCCATATTTTTTAATTTGCTTTTGCTAATTGCACGGAAATAACTTTACGACCCCCGGTGGCTGCGATAAAATCGGAAGCGGTTTGTTGGGGGGGAGGGAGGAGGCGGCGGGGGCGGGAAGAAGGGGGTTGGGGTTGACTTGAGTGTCAGGTTGGGGGGTCGAGGCTGTAAAGAGGCTTCGCTTTGATGGGGAAGCGGAGAGCAAATGTTGGTGGCCATCCGGCGCGGGCTCTTTGTTTCACGGTGCGGGGAGAGCCAGCACGTCGCGGCGGCCCCTCGCTTAGTGCCCGAGCCTCCCGGGGTCTCTCTAGATTTCCTACCTACTTTATTTCCCCCCCCCCCCCAGCACCCCACCCCCCGACTTTCACAGGGAAACGTTGTCCCCTCGGGGTTTTTTTGGGGGGGCGGGGAGAGACTGAGATCTCCCATCCAGCAAACGGGCTGGACTGTTACCAACGCGCGGTTTAACCTTGCGCACCCGGTACGAAAAGGGGGTCTTGCTAACATCTGGGGTGACATCTGAAGTTCAAATGCCACCCCTCTTTTTTTTTGGAACTAGAATGACCCTTTTCCCTCCGTCTCACCTCGCCGCCCCAAGCAAAAGTTCCGGAAGCACTCCTCGCGGTTTAAAAAGGGGGGTCCGTGCGGATGGCGCGGGGGCGTAACGGGGCTCGCCGGAGGGAACCCACGCGTCCGAGTGGGTAGATAGATGGGCGGGGATGAATGGGAAGACGGGGGCGGGATCGGTGTTTTCCTTTCCCCGTCGCCAACATCTCGGTTGCCGTTGGGTTGCCAGTGGGACAGGTTCGTCCTTCTCTGCTCTCTCCCCCCCCCCCGGGCCTTGGACGGGCGGCGGATACAATGGAGCAGCCGCCGGATACATTGTGCCAAGCAGACGGCGCGCGTCTCCTTCGGCCTTCTGGCCACCCGCAGATTCGGGGAGGGGGGAGAGCCGGCGGTTGTAATAGCTTGCAGCCTTCGGGTGGCCATTTCTCTCCCGCTTTTAAGGCACCCTTCACTTTTCTGGGCAGGGGGAGCCTCCCCGCAGAGACCACCGACGGGGCTCCTGTCGACGTCCCCCCCTCCCCAAACAAACCCCGTTTTCACAGCCCGCATCTCGAAGGGTCTTCGGGGCCACGGAAGCGAACCCAGCAAGGTCATTCCGCGGCTGGCACCGTCCCTCTACTTTCTATCTCCCCTCGAGGGGAGGGGGCGTCGGATGCAGGCGGCTTGGGCCGTTGCTGGGATCCAAGAGAGGGGACCCCCCTCTCCCGGGTGCTCCTGCGCCGCCTCCAGCTTCCATCAAGCCCCCCTGCCAGCCTCGTTTCTTTCCTCGCGCCCCGTCGAGCTTTGGCGCTGCGCTCCGCGGACGGCCTTTTTACAGGTGCCGGCAAGAGCTGCAGTCGCGGTTGGTTGGGGGGGGGTAACCCGAAAGCTTTGCAGCTGCGGGTGGGCAGCTTCGCTACAGAGCCCGGGGGGGGGTGTGAGAAGCGAAGGGACGTTTCGCTGGCTTTGGCGGCGAGGTTTTGGGGGGACCCCTTGGACGCACCTCAGACCCACGTCGAAGCGGGCGGGCGCCCCTAGTGAGTGGTGGTGGGGTCATGGGCGGGCCACCATTAACAACTGGGGGGGGGGTGGAAGTTGGAGCATCGTTTAGAAAGGGAACTTTTGACGGGGATTCACTCCCCCCCCCCAAAAAAAACACTTTTCTTTTTCCAGGTTGGCCAGCTCACTCCACTTGCCCAAGTGTAACGCTCTTTAGACGAGTTCAAATACACAGCTATCTTTTTATAATAAAATAGGGGGCAAGGTGCGGGGGCGGGGAGTGAGCCCCCCAACCTATTTTCGGCTGCAAACTCTTTTCTCCCGCCCCCGTGAATTTATTTCTATTTTTTTGCACCCCCAAATGCCCCGGGGGCAGCCAGCTCGGTTTATTTCCCAGCCGGGCGGCGGCTCCTCCTCTCCAGCGCCGCCCCCGGCTGCTGCGGCCGCAGCAAACAGCAGCCCAAAGCGGCCCCACCACGTGCCGCCTCCTCTTCTCCCTCTTGCCTTTTCCCTCCTCCTCCTTCCCTTCCCTCTGGCCCCCGCCCGCGCGGGGCCTCTTGGGAATCGTAGTCCGCTGCCTTCCCGGCGCCCTGCCGCAGCCCTCCCTGCTCCTTTCAAAGGGGGAACTACACGTCCCGGCATGCGTCGGGAGTTCTGCCGCAGCTGGCCAATCGGAGCGGGCGCCGGCCGTGGCGCGCTGTTTTGAAATGGGCCCGGGCGCGTGGCAGGCCGTAGGCGAAGCGTCGAGCGCTCGCGGCGCGGGCGCCCCCTGTAGGGGGGAGGCTATTTTATAAGTTAAATAAATAAAAATAAATTTTTGCCAGGGTTGTTAGTAGGCGCATCTGTTACAGGTGGCGGCAGCAGCGGTTGCACTTTGCAAAGCTTGCGATTAGGAGGGGCGGGGGGAGGGAAAGAATGATCCCATGAATGGATTTGACAATTGGGTTACCCTTGGCACCAGGCTGCAAATGTGTTTTGGAGAGGGTTGAAATAAGTACTTTTGTCAGTTTTGCTTTACGTGGACCGTTTTATTGCCGTTCCTCAGTTAGCAAATTGGGTTGGTGCAGGTGTCTCCTGCTTATGTTTCCTTTGCCAGAGGCCCTGTGCATGTAGGGTGCTATGTTAATAAAATGGTTTCCTCTAGATTTCAACCTAGCGGCTCTGCAAGGTGAATACACATCATGTTGCTTTTAGAGTACAGTTCCAGATAATGGTGTTTTTTTTAAAAAAAAATATCCAGCAGTTATGGATTGCCCCTCCTAGCTAGTGTTGTTGTGGCTGGTCTTGAAGTGGCAAACAGCTCTGCTGGGCCTGTAATTATAGACTCCTGCCTCAAAGGTTTCAGGATCAAGTTAAAGCTTGTTGTATTGTCAATTTGCCTTGGAGTGTGGAAAAATCTGGTGCTTTCTGCTTTGAGGTGCCTCTACTCCATGCAAAGAATAAAATAAAAATCAACCATGTTTTGTAATTCAACCGGCCTGTGATGATCTAGCACTAGGTTTTAGTTACGAGGTTAACTGCTGCTGCTGCTGCTGCTTCATTACGGAGCCTGTTTTGATTTGCTCTTTAGGGGGTGTTGCTCAGAGAGGTTTTGTGTTCATATCTGTTTCTGCGCGTGAGGGAATACTGCTCCAATCTGGTCGATGTGAATACGATGGATCTGTTCGCAAGCCTTGCTGGGTGAAGGTAACCAGATCCAAAAGTGGGGAAAAACAAAACACTCAACAGGCTTGCTTGATTTTTGCCCAGATTTAAATGCTCAGCAACAGGTGTGAGCCTAGAGGTACTAAAGTAAGGCAATACAAGAGGAGGATTCCCGGGTGTTTCTCGTCAGTGCAGGCAGCATTTGCTAATCTGTTCCCGATTTACCCAGGAGCCCTGCTTGTCTTGAGAAGCTTAAGCAATGCATGGCTGCACTGGGCCTGCAAATAATTTGGAGGCTAGTCTAATCCAAACGAATAAACCGGGGTGGGGGGAGCAAGGAGGCAATCCTTTATGTTGGGTTGTGCCTTCCAGATTATTCATGCCGGACTCTGTGCGGGGCAAAGCATGCAGCCATTCGGGTGGCAGAACCACCAACAGATCAGGCCACGGTTTATCCGCTAAGATGTTCCTGGATCCCTTGCGGCCTTTTAAAAAGCTGGCAGGCTGAGGCTGTCAGTCAAGAGAGGGAGAGGGCAGGATCCTGGTGACAGGCTTATCTGTGTATGCATGGGCAAGGGGGCTCCTGCTGTGGCTGGTGCCTTTTTCCATCAGATTCCGGCAACCGGCCAGCAGCAGGTAGACACATCCTGCGGCTCAAAATGGGGTTTCTGGACTCTGCTTTCCCCCCTCACTTCTGTGGTTTTCAGTGTTAGATTGGCGGTTTGTTGATGAGCCACTGACTCGCCCCCCTTTCATAAGGGGGAAGGGAACGTGCTGTAATATCAGGCCGGTGGGGGAACGTTTCTCTGCTCTGGACTCCCATAACCTAACCTGGTCCAAGCCTGGTCTGCTATGGGGAGGTGGAGCCCTGCTGGAACAGCATGAAAAGCCGGGCTTTTCCGTTCCTGAGGTTTATGCGTGTTTGTCAAACACTGCACTGCCTAAGCGCAGAGTCTGTCTGTTTGGTTTGGTTTGGGGGGGGGGCAAGGTTTTGCTGTGCCCAGTCCCGGCTTCTGCATTCAAGCTGTTCCACATGCAGTTGGGGAGGAGTAAGTTCATTTCCTATACTTTCCCCCGGCCGCTGTGATGTTCTTGTTTTCCTTCCTTCGTTCTCCCATCCTTCCAAAAAAACAAACCGAGCTCATTGGAGAGGAGGAGGAGGAGGAGGTGAAAGAACTCCTCAGATTCCCAAAAAGAGCGTCAACCATATTGGAGGCTGGAATCCTGGTGACTCACTCTGGTTTATTTCTGTCCCTTTTAAGGACTTGAAAGAGAAGAAGGAAGTCGTGGAAGAGACAGAAAATGGCAGAGATGCCCCAGCTAATGGAAACGCCGTAAGTATTTTCTGCCAGGAGAAGTGAGGCATAGGCAGGTGGAGGCATAGGAAGTTACCTTCTGCTGGGTCAAGCTGTGGGGCCCAGCCTTTTGCAAGCTGTTGCCCCCCCCCCCCCCCGATGTGTTGAACCACAGCTCCTATCACAGTGTGCTGATGGGAGTGGTTATCAAAAACTTCCGGAGGGCACCAGCTTGCAGAAGGCTGGGCTTCTCCCCGAGTGAGGTGTCTCCTGTTTCCCTTCCCCAGAGAAATCTGGGAGGTGGTAGAACTCGAACCCAGGGCCTTGCGCATGCTGCTCTGTCACTGCTGCAACGTTTCTCTTCCCTGAGCTTGAAAGTCTTGTTGGTAAATTAAGAGAACGCAAATGTAAGCTCATCCAACCAATACCGTATGGTAATGATTGAAACAGTAAATTATTGTGGGCTTGCAAGTTGTTGCATCCAGTCAGTGGGGTGTTGGCTCTTAGTTTTGACCCCGTCCCCCTGTTGTAGCACCGGTGTTTGATTGCTGCGACACAGAAATGTTAGGATTGCAACCGGCAACCCACAGTTTCTGCATCCCTGCCATAGCAGGGGATTGGCAAGTGGCCAACAACCCTGACCGCTGTGTGTGTTGTGGGGAAGGAAGGAGAAGGGGGCAGGTGCCGACCGAAACCTGGGGAATCCTGATAGGATGAGCTCTGGTGCATCCTAGCAGCTGTTTCAAGAAACAAGACCGCAGCTCTTTTAAGTGCTGTGCTTTGGGGGGGCACTTTCCTCTGCGAGTGGCGTTTGGGCTGCCCCCTTTGAGGGGCGAGTTTTGCCTTTTCCTAAGTGTGTTTTGTTTCCACAAGGAAAACGAGGAAAATGGGGAGCAGGAAGCAGACAACGAGGTAGATGAGGAAGAAGAAGAAGTTGGCGAGGACGAGGAGGACGAGGAAGAAGGTGACCTTCCGTTTCCCTTTCTGACCTCCCCCCACGTGCCACAAGGGCCCCCCCTTCTGCTTGCAGAAGACCAGCTGCTCACCCTTGCCCCAGCTGTGTCCAGTTGCAGAGGGCAGTGGCTCCCCCTAATGGCCTTTCTGGGTTGAGCACGACAGGCAAGGCATTTTGCTTTTCCGCCAGCTCCCATAAGGAGAGCCAACCGGCGACAAAATCAGCGGGGAGCAACGTATGTTTATTGGGTCCTGCCTTTCCCACAAGGAGGACACGGGCTTCCCCCACCCCCTCCCACCACCGCCGCAACAACAACAACCCTGTGAGGCAGGTACAGCAGAGATTCTTTGCGACTAGCCTGCGATCTCCCAGCGACGGCTGCGTGAGGATTTGAGAAACCTGTCCTGGCCCCACACCTTTAACCTGCAGGTGTTTTGGGCCCCAACTCCCGTTCCGCCCAGCCTCAGCCTCCCCGGCTAAGCTGGAATATTTGGCGTCTGTTCAGATGCGGGGGGAGGGGGGAACCGTTCAGGGTTTGATTCCTGCCATTCCTTTACAGGCCTGGCACCATTGCAATTTTGCAGCTGGCTTCCCAAACATTTCCCCCTTCTGTTGCTGAGGAGTCGGGGGTAAACTTCTCGAGCCTCATTCACACACTCCCCAAAGGGGGGCCTAATGTGTCGGATGCCCCTGGGTGTGTGAGTGTATAGGTGACAACCAGGTATATTTCCTTGTGGCGTTTTAAACCACTTTTAATTGTTTACAGCGAGTGGGCTATCCACTGTGCACTATATTATTTCCGTGATGGGCTAGGAAACCCAAAAGCCTGGGTTTTGGGTGGGAGAAAAGAACCGTTTGCGATGGGCAAATCTTCCTTCCCTTTCGCCCTGTGGATAAATTGCAATGGTCTCTTGCACAATTGCAAGAACTGGAGGCTGCTTCCTGGAGGAGATCTCTGCGAGGGGAGCTGTTGTGGCTTAGCTTTAGGCACTTTGATTCCCCTCTTTTCCCCAATAAAGAAAAAAACATTAACGACCTTGCTCCTTGTTCCTTTTACCCAGTTTCTTTGCCTTTAATGGCGTCCCCCGAGAGCCTCTTTAATTGTGGCTCTGAACCGCTGGCGAAAGCATCTCATCTCTCGTGAAAAACAAGACAACGTGCAACACACACAAACACACACCCCTGGGTGCAAGAAGCATTGCCCCTTTCTGGAGAACACTCTGAATCACGCTTGGCTATTGCCTCTTATCCTTGAGTCTCCTGGGGCCTTCGGGCCGTTTTGCATAATTGGGTATCTGTTGCTGGGTGGGGGAGCGTTGCCTGGCGACCCGGGGTGATTGAGGAGGAGGGAAAAGGGGTGGGGAAGCAGAGCTCGGAAACCATGGCGATGGAGCGGTGATGTCAACACCAAGCTAGGATGTGGCAGAAGCGTTCTGGGTTGCCTGCGGGGAAAGGAGGTGGGGAGATAGATAGATGTCTTTGATACCGTTTCATATAGGGTGGTGGCATCAATCATTATGATTTGCATTTTAAAAATAATTGCAAATCTAACAAAGAACGTCAGCTCACCTTAACGATCATCATAGATCCGATTTTAAGCATATATTAATATACATTGTCCATCTGTCCACAAAGGATAACCAAACAAGGCTGACAGTTATAAGCTCTTCAGGGATGGATATTTAACTTTCCAACCTTGAAGTATAACTTTTTTTTTTTGCAACCATCAAGGGCTTGCAGGGTCCATTTTTTGAGAGCTCTCCGGCACAAAAGTTCAGAGAGGCAAGTAAATGTTCCTATAAAATAGCATTTAGAACATCAACATTAACACTATTATAATTTCTTTTCCCAAACACCAGAAGGAACAAAGGCACTTTTTTTGTGGTGGGGCAGCAGATTGGGCCCCTACTCTCCAAAGTGCCCTGGAGGGTGTGTTTGGTGTTTTTTCTTCCCTTTCGAAAACACTAGTATCTGGTTGCTCCTCGGGTCCCGTTACTTCAGCGCCAGAAGCCAAGAATGTCCTGTTCCATCGGCACAAAAGGCAGCCATTCCTCTCCCCTCTGTCTGTTTCCCTCTCAGCCCAGCAGAGCTTCCTTCCATCCCCAGGACTTTAAAACTCTGCGTGAGGTGAAGCAGAGCAGCATTGAGCCCCCTGCCTGAGCTAATCCCGCCTTCCTGAGCTGACGCCATCCAGGGAGGAAGTGGGGCAGCTTTTCTGCCCAGGTGACCCTAATCTCTCCACTCCTCTCGCCCCGAGGCCTCCTTCCACTCCGCTCTCTGCTAGTGGCTTGTGGTGACAATTAAGCCAGATTACTGGCCTAAATGTGGAAGGTTCAAACAGGCCTGCCACTTATCCAGAAGAGCTTAAACTGGGGGGGAAACACACACAGATCTCTCCAGCGCTGGAGTATCCCTTCGAGCCGTCCCCAATCCACTGGCCTATTTCAGACCTTTTCTGGGTCAATCCAGTGCTCTTTTCTTTCTCTCAGTTCTGAAGGATGTGGTCCTTGGCAGGTTCCCTGCCCCTGACAATTAGTAAAACGTCCTGAGTCAGAACTAATGAATTTTGGCTCTCTCTGTCCCACCTCATTAAAGGCGGGCTTGTCGTTGGGACGGGGACGCAGAAACAAACTGAGCTTGGCAGCCGCTACAACAGAGGACCCCTCTTCCCCAGTTTCTGTGCGGTGTGGGTTTTGCTCTCACAAAAGGTGCTTGTTCCAGTGTTGCCTTGCGCCTACAACCCTGGCTTGCTTGCAGAGTTTTCTGCACCTGTTCCTCTGCACATAGTTCTTGGGTGTAACAGGGCACACGTCACATCTCCCCCAAAGTTTCACTAGACTTTTGGCTCCCTATCTTTCCTCCCCCTCCCAAGGCAGGGAGAATTGAACAGATAACTGGGTAGGAATGACGATGGAATGTCCCCCTCTTGTGCCCTGTCCCGCTGCACAAAAACGCACAGCGTCTTGTCTGCGAATGAAACTCTTCAAACCAATAAAAGATTCCAGCGTTTTGTGGAGAGAAGGGGCAGCTGCTTACTGGGAGTGCTGCCCTGGCGCCATTTGTAGCCCCTGCTAAAAAGCCCAAATCCGAACAAGCAAAAAATAAAAATAAAAGGCAGAAGGGAGATTGAATAAGTAAACCTTCCTGCAGAATACCTGCAGCTCCTTCTCCCTCTTTGCAGCAAGCAGGCAGGCAAGCACCCTCCTCAAATGGACTCCCGGGGAAATGGAAGGAGGAAGTAAAACGCAGAAGTGTAGCTTCTCGCACAAAAAGGAGAAGGAAAGTGGCACCTGTGCATTTTAACCTTGCATTCTGCGAATGCTAAAAGAACAGAGCTTTTAAAAGTCAGAATGTTGAGAATCTGTTCTTCTAAGGGCTCCTGGAGGCTTGGACCAGGCGTAGTGGGAGGGTGTGGGTCTTGCTGCTTCCTCATCTCGCTTTCCCCCTTTCACGCCCGTCGTCATCTTCCCCCCCCCAGGTGAAGAAGAAGATGGCGATGAGGACGATGAGGCTGAAGGGCCCCCAGGGAAGCGGGCAGCTGAGGACGATGAGGTGAGTGGCTTGAGGTCTGCGACTGTGCAAGCTTTAGAGAGAACCCTAAGAGAATTGGAGAGTCGGGGCCGATGGGGAGATAAGTGAGAAGCAGCTTGCTTTTGTGGAGCAAAACATCTGCAAGCCAATAGGTTTCAAGGGAGCCTTTCTCAAGTTTTCCAAAATTGGGCAAAGGGAGATTTATTTCTGATCTGTTCCATAGAACTTATACACCACCCGATTGGGGTAAGAAATCTTGTATGCAGATATGAGTAAGGTTGAATAACAATTTTAAAGACTTTCTAAAAAGTCTCCATTAACAATGGACTGGAAGACGGGTTCCAACTCGCACCAGCATCCTAAACATCTGGGCAGGCTTCTCTAAACCAAAATAGTTTCCGCCCGGTGCTGAAAAGGGTGCAGCCGATAATCAATAGGCAGGGAAATCTGAGGATGTAGGCGCTGCAACACTGAAAGAGCCACGTTCTTACACGTAATATACCATTTCCCCCCCACAGGATGATGACGTCGATCCCAAGAAGCAGAAAACCGACGAAGACGATTAGGAGGCAGAGTTACTTTTAAAAACACACACATTTTTTTTAAAACTTAAAAGAGGAAATTTTTTTTAAAGGCCAGCGTGACCTACTCACCTTTGGAGCTCCTGTTGCAAAATGTCCCCCTCCTCCTCTTCCTCCCCCCCCCGACCCCCTTTTTGCTGTGGTCGCTTGTCATCACGTAGAGGGGGGGCAGCCCTTCTCCCAACTCTGAGTGGAATGAAAGTTAAGCCACTTTTGTGGGGGGAGACCGGGTTGGGGGGAGCGGAGAAATTAAGGTCCTGACCCCCCCCCCCGGCCTCTTCTCTTCCCCCATGGAAAACTTCAAGGCCCAGCTTGCTTTCTTAAAAGTAACTTTAAAGGAGAATTTGTTTGTATTTTTTATTTACATTTTATATTTTTGTACATATTGTGACGAGGTCAGCCATTTTTAACGCGATCTCCGATTGACCAAAAGGGGGGGCGGGGCTTTGAAGTGTGGTGTTTTAATTTTTTAAAATCTCTCTCTTTCTCTCTCTCCCTCTGTTCCTCAAAAACAAAACAACTGAAAAGGAAAAAAAAATTTGAAAATATTTCTTGACTTTACTTGTGGTGTGACCATGTCCAAAATGTTTATCTCAAAAGGAGAAGGGGGGGAAACAAAACACGACCTTGTAAAAAAAAATGCAAAAAAAGTCCAATCTTTATTCTGAGCATTCCAGTAACTTTCTCTTTTCTTCTGTGTATGTACTTTAGATGTACCATAACTAGTTGGTTTGTATGAGATGGCAAGGCCAAAGATAAAAGGGTTTTTTCTTTCCTTTTTCTTCTTTTTATTTTTCGTTCTTTTGTTTTGTCTACAAAGTTGCTGTTAATTTTTTTTTTTTGTTTTGGCCTGTTTGATGTATGTGTGAAAACAATGTTGTCCAACAATAAACCGGAATTTTATTTTGCTGAGTTGTTCTAACGAAGCTGGTTGTACAATTGCTGTGTAGCTTTCATTCTTTCCCCTTTTATTCTGTTTTTTGGGGGGGGGTGGAATTGAAAGGGCGATGGGGTTTTTTCCCCCCTCCTGGCAAAGAGGCCTGTTGGAATCGTAGAACTATAGAGTTGAATGGGACCCCAAGGGTCATCCAGACCAACCCCTTGCATTGCGCAGCTGTAGTCTGAAACAAACACCTGGAAGCATTTGCAGCCTGGGCCCAGCCTTTGCCAACCTGGTAGATTGCTCCATCCCAAGAGGAACCACCCTTAAAAAGCGATTTTGTTGCCTGATTGATTTCCATTTATTCCATAATCATTATTATTGTATACACCCAGGCAGCTTACAGATTATAACAGTTAAAAACTGAACTGGGAGGAAGTAATTAAGCAAACATTGATGGGAGAATATATAGTAGTCAAGAATCTCCTTTGCACTGTGAATACATTGGCATGATTCTGATGGTCACTGAAAAGTCCCACATTATCTGGGAGGTAAGGCTGAGAGCCAGGAATTCAGAGAGACAATAAATTCAAACCATAAATAATTAAAATGGAAACAGCATGGCACCAGCTCTTTGATTAAAAGCAGTCCGTTCCCGAACGTTTGTCGGAAGTTCTTTGCCTGCTGGGGAAAGACAACAAGGGAGGAAGGAGATTTGAAGCTTGGGAGGAGCCACCACCGAGAAGGCCCTCTTCTGAATCCCCAAAAGGCTTGCCGCCAGAGAACTCTTAAATCCAGGCAGGTTCATATCAGGAAATACAGTCTTTGAAAGCCTGGGCCTAAGCCGCCCAGGGCTTGAGAGGTCATAGCCAGCACTTCGAATTGTGCCTGGAAACAGACCAGAGCTGTTGTAACCAGGGAGTTACTGGTTAAAGGTGGGACAATGTGGGTTTTTTTACCCTCAACAGCCCTGTGAGGTAGGGTAGCCTGAGACTTGACCGGCCAAAGGTTACCTGCTGAGTTCCATGGCTGGGTGGGGATTTGAGCCCTGGCCAGGAAGTAGTTAAACACCTTTAACTGCTTCGCCACACTGCCTCTCGGTTGAGCTTGCTTTGCAGTCTGGTTTCTTCACATGAGGGAAAGCCCTGCATCCAATGCCGGGTTCCTGAAGGATTAGGACGGGTCAGCAAACTTTTTCAGCAGGGGGCCGGTCCACTGTCCCTCAGACCTTGGACTATACAGTGGTACCTCGGGTTAAGAACTTAATTCGTTCCAGAGGTCCGTTCTTAACCTGAGGTACCACTTTAGCTAAACGGGCCTCCCGCTGCGCCGCTGCCACACAATTTTACTACTTCCGGGTTAGCCGAGTCTGTAACTTGAAGTGTTTGTAACCTGAGGTACCACTGTGTTTTGAAAAAAAAATGAACAAATGCCTGTGCCCCAGAAATAACCCAGAGATGCCTTTTAAATAAAAGCACACATTCTGCTCATGCAAAAAACACCAGGCAGGCCCCACAAATAACCCGGAGATGCATTTTAAATAAACGGGTGCATTCTACTCATGCAAAAACACGCCGATTCCCAGACCATCCGCGGGCCGGACTTAGAAGGCGATTGGGCCGGATCCATTCCACGGGCCTTAGTTTGCCTACCCATGGCTTAGGAAGTCCCAACATCTGCCGCCTTTAGCTTAGTAAGGAGGTGGCCAATGCGAATCAAAAGCAGCAGAATGCGCCTTTTCAGCCCTCAGGGTCTACTGAAATTTCCAAACACTCTTCAAGGCCAGCCCCGAGTGCTATGCATTGCAGTAGTCAAGTTGAGAGAGCCTGCACAGTTTGCGGAGCCTCCAGAAAGAATTGCCGAAACTTGACAGCATGCTCCTGGTACCTGGATGGGATGGGAAAGCAAACCTGGATCCCAGAGCCTTTTCAACTATCAACAGCCATTTTGCTGCACATGTCTGGGGCTTGTGAGCATGCAGCGAATGTTCCAAGCCTACGAGGTGAGTGATGGATTGCACCCAGCTCCCTGGCAAGCCCACCTGCTGGGCAGGTGCCCTGCAATAGGAGACCAGAGCAAATTCTGCCTGAGCAGCTGGCGGGAAAGCAGGCGCAAAGGAAACCTTGCCTTTCGAGGAATCCATCAAGCAACGCCGGCTTTTGGAGGTGCTTCCACGCTCTCCTGAGCGCACTGACCTTTCGGCGGCCTCCCTCGCTGCTGCCTCGTGCATCTTTCATGGGCACAAGAAGGTTACTGGAGCAGGAGGTGAGCTTAGGGGAACCGGCAGGCCTCTGGAAGAGCAGAGCAGCTGCAAAGACTGCCTTGGAAACCGGGTCTCTTCCCTCCTCCAGCCTCCGTTGTGCTGTTTTTCCTGCTGTCAACAGATGCGGCTAATTTCTCTCCAGAGAACATAATGTTGCTCCACTTCTGACAGCTCTACATTGCCGCCGGTAGGGCAGAAGAGAAATTGATGGAGGCCGCAGTTCAGTAGGAGAGCAGCTCCTTTGCGTGCAGAGTATTCCAGGTTCAGGAAGGGTTGTAAAGCCTTCTGGTCGGCCACTGGAGAGAGCTGCTGCCAGTCCGTGCTGGTAATCCTGACCTGGATGGACTTTGTATAGGGCAGTTTTGTATGTCTCTACAGACAACATGACTTACAAAAAATGCTTAAATTGGTGCCAAAACTCTATAGATTTTCATGTGCACTTTTAAAAAGCAATCCAAATGATTCCTATGGTCTGATTTTGGAGCAAATTGGCCACTATATTTCTATGTGTTGGATGTGAAAAGAAATTTAGAGTTCTGTTGGGTGCAAAAGCACTTTTTTTGGGGGGGGGGGACAGATGAGGCAGTAGCCTGCGGTTTTTCCTCCAGGGAAGGGGGATTGCTGCGGGAATTGTCTCCCTGGTGACTTTTGTAAAACTATAAAACATGGAAATGTGGGCAGAGTGTGAAATGGAATTTCTAGCTCAGAATCCAGAGTTCTGCGGAAGCTGCAGAGATATCTGCGATGTCAAAGTTGAAGCACCCTGACCCGTTTCCTGCGTCGTTTTCACGGCTGAAATAAGTCCTAGCAACTTCTTATAGAAACCCAACACACCATCAAATCCGTTTGTCTAGGTTTGGCAGCTGCTATCAGATTTTATTATTATTAAATCTGTATGCCGTCATTCATCGGAAAGTCACAGGGCGGTTCACAACACAAAAATGCGAAATGGGAGCACAAAATACATGATAAAACCAAAACAAACCTATAACACACACCCCACACAAACACATTTTAAAAGTTGTAGAATATTAATCAGCCCAAGGCCTGCTTCTAGAGAAATGGTTTTGCCAGCGGCGCTTTCTTTTTCTGAGGGGCTAGAACCTTAGGTTAGCTTTAACCTCATCTGGTAAGGGTAGCAAACATGGTGAATGCCAGATGTCATTGGACTACAACTCCCATCAGCTCCTGTCCATGTTTGGGGATTATGGGAGTTGTAGTCCGGCAACATCTAGAAGGAATCGCACTGGCTTTCCCTTCTATGCAGCATCAAATCAAAGCCAAGGTTCTCTCTGAGATCGTTGGCATCCGTCTGTCTTAAGAGACAACGGAGGAATGCGCCTGGGGGGTGTGAAGTTAAACTGTTGAAAGGTTGCAGCAATAGGGGAGAGACATGTTTTGTTGCATCTGGAGCAGATGAAGACATCCGGTTGCACGGCTGCAGATGCACCGTGACGTTTCTTCTCTCTGCACTTCTCCCTGCGGTCATTCCTCCTCTGCTCACTGCCGTGGATACATGACCTGTTTGTCTCCAGGCACTACGGTCGTCTGCAAGTGATTCCCACACAGCAGGGTTGATGATCCCAGCCTTTGTGTCACATTTGCAGACGCCTTTTTAACACAGATTTGGGGCCTGGTGCCAGAAGAGTTTGGATTTGATATCCCGCTTTATCACTACCCTAAGGAGTCTCAAAGCGGCTAACATTCTCCTTTCCCTTCCTCCCCCACAACAAACACTCTGTGAGGTGAGTGGGGCTGAGAGACTTCAAAGAATTGTGACTGGCCCAAGGTCACCCAGCAGCTGCATGTGGAGGAGCGGGGAAGCGAACCCGGTTCACCAGA